TCAAAAGGCTAAACTGTCTCCCCAAAATTCACTGACAGTTCTTCACAGAGCAAAGCAGTCGACCTTTCCAAGCCTCATTAATCTGTTTGAGCTGCCACAGCCAAGGGCTGAAGGGAAAAGCAGAGGAAACTTCAATTGGAAAATATTTTGACATAATTGACCCAGATGACAAACTAAGCTTAAGCACATGTCAAGCACGGGGAGTGGTACAAAAGCCTCGGCTGGGTGATACAGGAAGTTAAATCAAGCCAAGGTGAAGTCAGAGCCCTGGGAACAGTGTATATTTTTGTAATTACTGCTAATTGAAAAAAGAAAAAAGATTCCTTCATCCCAAGCTCTTAAGTAACAGCAAATAAAATGTCAGGAATATTTTCTTTCCTCTTTATTTTTTTTTTTAAAATCACACCACAGTTGGAGCTCCTAAGCACTGCAAATGATATTTTAGAACAGTATAGTTTCACATCATCTGTACTATTGCTTTGCTTGGTGTTAACATCCCTAAACACTCCTTACTGTCACAGGTGGGTTTGGTTTTCTTTGTTTGTTTTGTGTGATGGTTTTTTTTAAAGTATTGCTTCATCCTGTTTAGAACAATTACTGCATCTCACTTAGCTGAATTCCAAGGGGTTTAACTTTTGGAGGTCTAAATTCTATTTTTCTTTTTAAGATTAAGCTGGTTTTTGTCACTATGCCTGAGTTTCTGCCTTAGTTTTGATTTTAAACAGACGAATGTTAAAAAGCACTGAGCAACAAGAGGAAAAATGATGCTTCCCAAACCTTTGCAAGAATATAGAAGTTACATGATTTTTGTTGCTATATATTTTATAAACTCAGGTAAACTGCTGGCTGGACAGAAAACAGAACTCCAAGTCCCCACAGATCAGACCATCAGCTAACGAATTCATCATAACTGGGTGATGGAGTTTATCTGGGTAGGTACCATGATGGTGTCCCCCAGCCTGACAACATCAGAGCAAACTTCAGTGTTCATTCTGAAATAGGTTAAAACCAAAAAAAGCACAATGGTTTTCTTGTTTGGTAGTAAAGTTAATGACCTAAATACCACAATAATAACAGGGGAAAAAAAATTCCACTCAATTGCTTCCCAGAAAAGCAACAGAAAGTCTGTAAAGTAATACTCATTAGGTTCTTAGCACAGCACAGTGATACAGGATTTGCTAAAAATAAAATTAAAAAAAAAATCCAAGAGGGCAGTCATAACAAATCTAAATAAACTAAGATGCAAGACAAATGCAGATATAATTATCTATGCCATGCAGCAAGATAAAGGAGTTTCCTCCAAAAATATTCTTATAATATCACCACAAACCATTAGTGGCTTAATAAAAATATTTCTTAAAAAAGCAGCCAGTCAAAGCTGACCCTAAGTGCAGGAACTGTCAGAACAGTACAGAGAAATACCTACCACATAAATAGTCAAAAGAGGGGAAACAACCCACAGAAATAATACAGTGACAAAGGCTTTCATTTCCTTCATGTTCAGTTTCAGAAAGTTAGATGACATCTAAAGCAAAAGTGTCAGAGAGCTGGTTGTATAATATAACAAGCAAGGTGTCACCAGCCTGGCAGAAGCTGAAAATTATATGCCTCTCATCCTGTTAATATGGATAGGTCTAACATCTGTACAGAAATATCCTTTTCCTACTAGTAAAAAATGCACAAAATACATTTCAGAAGAAAATTACAAACTCTGGGGTGAGCACAGTAGGGTTGTGAAGAAGCACAAAATGCAGAGAAGGCTGACTGAAATAAGCATTCAAACAGATCAAAAACTATTGATAAGACTGGTGATCAATCCTGAAGGATGAAAAAATTCTCCTAATTCCTTCCTTCACACAGTCTTATACTCGCTTGTATCCATGACCACAAAACACTGAAAAATCTCCAAGAAGCTGAGAATAATTCAGTTGCCTTTCCTGTAAGAGGTTTGGGAGAGGGGAATAATCCAGATGACCACTAAAACCCTGAAAAGCCTCAGTACTGCAAGAGATTTAGGAAAGGGGGTTGACGGGAAGGAGCAGGAAAAGCCATCCCCTGGAAAGTAGTTGACAATCTCCTCCTCAGTAAATTTAGCAGATACATTGTATTGGAGACAAAGAAAGTCGAGAGAAGGAATAAAAATAAACAATTCCCCTTAGGAATCATATGCAAGATTGCTTTGTAAAACAAACCATCCAACAAACTGCTTTTCTCTTGGAAAAGCAAAAGGTCACCAATCTTGGTGAAAATACAGCTATAAAAAGTTTTTGGCCAAGTATCAAAGAGCATGTTTACAAAAGGGCCACATTCATTGTAACATCAACCATTCAAACCTCACAATAGATTTCAGGAGAGAACAGGATGCAACGTCAAACATCTGCTATCACATTATTTTCTGCAGCTCCTCTGCCCAGAAATGACATCCAGACTCTGCCCATCTCCCAGCCCTTGCAAGAGGCCGGTCAGACGGAGCTGTGACAGCTCCCCCCGTGCCCAAAACAGATGGAAAGGTCACATTTTAACAGTTCACACATAACTCAGCTGAAACATCTCATTTAACAGAGTCAGCTGTCCAAACTGCACAGGCACTGCACACACACATCTGGAAAACAGGGCAGAGCCTTCCTGGAAGCCAGCTGGGGCAGGGGCGATACCTGCAGCACTGAGGCAGGACAGACAACTTAAGACCAGGAAAGTACATCCAGCACTTCTGGAGAGCTGGACTTTCTGTGCCCATGCATCTGAAGTGTAGTGTGCAGACACAATAGGTCCATCTTTCAAAAAATCACTGGACCAAGCAAGCACTGCATGTACCAGAATTGATTTCCTCTCAGGTTTCAGACACAGGGAGACACAGCATCCAGCAGCAGGCTCCCACAGCCAAAGCTAAGCCTCCTGTCTGCAGTCCCTTCCTGAGAAGGACCCAGGAACCTGTGCTCCCTGGACTATCCCAGAAGAATACACATATCCTGCAAGCTGTACAGCAGACACTTTTCATCAAAATTACTTATTTGAGGCAGGAGAGACTGGAAGGAAAATGCAAGTCTGAAAAGTGAATTATCAAGAAACACACTCTCATTTCAAAAAACCTGATGTCAGTTCCAGGGATGGATATTTGAGACACATGTAAAGAATAGGAAAATTAATAGAGCTATAAGCAAGAAAAGTCCCCTCTCAAAAAAACAAAATAAAATCAAAACCCCACGTATTCATCTACTTTGGATTTACTGCAGGAACACGTGCAGCAGAAATTAATCCACGGCTGTTGAGCTTGAAGAAGTGCTACAGACCATGTTTAACACATTTAGTACATGATGGATGTTGCCTTTTTCCCCTCCAAGAAACAAATGTGAAGTTAGAGCAAGTGGGCTAAGTTCCCTTCCTGGAGTCAACATATCCAAGGCTGGACATGCTCCAGAGATGTGCTTCTTGAAACATCTGTACATCAAATATTTGACCAGTTCCAGCTCAAGGGACTTAAACCAACAGGGAATAAAAGGCAGTTTCCTCAAGCCAGCCCCTTCTGCTGCAGGTTGTCAGTGACAGGGGGGTTGCACCCTCAGAACTCCACCATGGAAAAACTGTACACAAGCATTTCCTATCAGTGCACCTTTGGATACCTCCTGGTCAGCAGGAGCCACCTTTAGACAATTAACTGCACCAGTAAAAATGTCTGATGGAGCTATGACTGAGGGATACAGGAGAGCAACAGCACTCATTTTTAACTTGGGGTTTTTGAGTGCTACCTTTTTTCCCCACCCTCTCAGGCACCAGTGCTTCGGGCGAGACAAAGAGCAATGTTTTCTTTTAAGCAGCGCAGGAGGAAAAGGTTACCTTGTTTACCAGTGACTCTGGAGTACAAAGAACTACTTTGTCTTTATGGAAGAGGCAGTAAAGGCAGTGTTTCTTAAGGGCTGAGGTTTCCAAGGCTGCTCTTGTTGAAGTGACCGTGACCCAGAGGCCTGTCTGCAATCCCAGGAAACCCGGGCAGTGAAGGGCTGTTGGCTTCAGGGTCAGAGTGACTGCCCCTGATCCCAGAGAGGACAGGATCCAGAGCTACAGCTACAGCGTGCCTGAAAGGAGGAGGAAGCTGTGCAGAAACACTAACACAGAAGGCTTTGTGAGCAAAGAGATGGTCAACAGAGAAGAGGACGTGATCTTACTGCTGAGAAGGAGATACTTTCAAAATACTTAAACAAATGTTTTTTCTTGCACTTCATTAACATTCTGACACAGCTGCAGGACTACCCCATGTGGAATCACTCTGCTATCCTTTTTTTTCCTTCCTATGCATTGAAGCTCAGTATTATTATTAAATAGCTTCCATTCATGTATTTTCCATACAACCCACAGTGATCAATTACACTGATTCACAGGCAACGAATTCCAAAATTTTTCTATACCTAAGGTGTTTCTTAACGCTGAGAGAATATCCCATTTATCCAGGACTACTCCAGATATAACTGATTTTGCAAACTTTCTAAAAAGTGATGAAGTAGAACTATTTCCCCTGAAAAAAAGGCAAATAGGACAAGAAAAATCTGAAATGAAACATAAAGAATAAGATAAAGAAAGTGACCTTCCTGAGGAAAGAAAAGGAATGTAAGAGATGACATGATAATATTTCCATGCAAGCAATTATTACAGTAAGAGCAGCTATCCACTACCCAGAGTTGTGTTTCATTTATATTACTTTAGGAATTTCACTGCTGCCTTTCTAAAATACTTTAAAAAATGCCATTATTTAAGATATCACTCCACAGCTTACCCACCCATCCAACGTACAATTTCTGTGCTAATATTTTTTAAAAGCATTCAAGAAAGCACTACTTCTTCTCATAAGAAAACCCAAACCTTTCTTGATATTTACAAGGTGTTTGCTGTAGCATCATATATAAGGATCAGAAACAGCAAGAGCCACTGGATTCTAACACTGGAAACTGGTAAACCACGAGTTGTTATGCAGGAGTGAAGAAAATGTAAGTCTTAAAATGGCCTACCTTAACTGCCAAGAAGTTGAGCCCACTTTCGTGGGCCAAAGCTTTTGCTATCATGGTTTTTGAGCACCCAGGAGGTCCATAAAGCAGCACACCTTTTGGAGGCTGGATCCCCATGCGGATGAAGGACTCAGGATGTTTGAGAGGCCACTCAACTGCCTGCTTCAATTTCAGCTTCACCTCTTCTAGTCCTCCTATGTCCGACCAAGAGACCTGCAAACAGACATGTGGCTCAATTCAGACCACTCTGCTCAATCTGGACAACGGAGAAAAACTATTAAAAAAGTTAACCAAAAAGTGCTCCATAGAATGTGTACTGGTTATTTCACGAAGTTGTTTTTAAGGAGTTACTTCTTCAAAAAGCCTTTTATAAGAAAGAAGCAGTTATTAATAAAGTCACACATCGTAAAGGAGGATTACACTTGCTTTATGCTGGAGGATGCACATGAAATATACTCTACTTCAAAGGTCAACAGCAAAACCAGCAGTCACAACTCAGTTCTCTCATTTTTAATGTGATGCTGAACTTGTAACAGGACTGACTGTTAAAAGTTTGGGGGCGTTTCTCCACCTGCCAACACTATCACTCCAATATAGGACTTGGGCACTTGGAGATGTGACTAGAAGCTTGAGATCAAACCAGCCTCCAAACACACAAGCATCTATGGCAAAGCAAAGCCACATACAAAAGGCAACACTCAAACCCACCTACAGCTAAAAAACAAGTGCAGTTCAATGTGCTCTGCTGAAGACACAAGACAGGCTTGTCAGGAATACATCAGGGCAGAACTAATATGTCCTACCCAAAACAGTAGACAGATCTAAAACCTGTTACACCTCTCCCCACATCGCTGTCAACAAGCCCAAGACTTTTCCCTGCATCCCCCAGCCTGTTCTTTGTCCTGTCACCATCCATTCCCGTCCACTTCAAATATTAAACATGTCAAAACGCACCTAAATCAAATGATCTTCTGCCTTAAAACACTCTCCCAAAAGTTTGCTAGACATAAATCATCCTTCAGCTCTGGAAAGCCAGTTCGTTTGAAAGGCAAGCAGAGTGCTACCGAGAGGCAAAGTATTGCCTTTCTCCTGAGCTGAAAACTGTTTTTACCCCTGGCCTGTCCTTATTTTCTCCTGATACCAGTACATGGAGTGGAAACCAGAAGCAGACAGTCCCTGAAAGAGGCAGTTCAGTCTCTTATTGAAGTGGAAGAAAAAGAGCATTTGGATGTGGTGGGAGCACTTTTGTTTAAGACCAATCGTACCTCCAACCACACAGAACTTCTCCTGGATTGTCAGACTTGGACGTGGAACAAAATTACAAAGGCAGCAGAGAGCAGACAGCAAAAATCAAGACATGTGGGTCAACCCCCGAGAAATACTCTGAGTTTAAAGGCTAACTGGAAGGTGAGGAGCCACCCATCTGCTGCCTAAACATCATCTCTCACATCAAGAATATGTTAGAGGAACACTAGAAAAAAAATCTCTTTCTTAGTGACCAACAGCCTCTGGTTCTTAAGTAATTAACTAATTTATAAGCCTGGGAAAGTATCAAATATGTAGAGTTGATCACCACTGCGAACCAAGAAGGATCTGAGAGCAGAGGGGTCTGTCAAAAGCAAAAGAAATTCCTATCACCTGACAATGAGCTGAGTATCTTGGGCTACCAACACAGCTGAGACAGAGAGAGACAGAAATCCACATACAGACTTTTAACTACAATGAAGCAAACAGACAAGTTCATAAAAAGTGAAACCATGTGCCAGATACCTCACTTGCACCTTTCCACTGTTCCACCCATGCAAACCCTTTTCACTCAAATTTCAAGGTTGAGTAACATAATTAAACTCAGGACAGTTAAACTCAATCTTCCCATGTTACATAAGTTTGTGTTTCTGATTCAGATATGAAAGAGTGTGGTTTAAGTTTCATCTAGAAAAGCCGTATTACCTACCCCCACAACCCTTAATTCTATCCAGCAGCTCTGTAAACTGCACACAACTACATCCTGGTGCTCTTAAACTACTTTTTCTTAGGAAAGATGACAGACAACATAAGCTTGTTCTCCTTTTTCAGTAACAATCCTTACACATACCTGGTAAAGACTAGTCATTCTTATCATCATGTCTTTCCATCTAGACAAAGATTTTGACAAACATGAATAAAAATGCCTTAAAAGTAATTGGCCATCAGGAATTCCCTATGACTTTCAGCAACAGAAAGCAAAACGCACTGGCAGTACTTTGCACACATATAAAAAGCCAGGGAAAACACGTAAAATGTTATTTTTACCCTCTTGCAAATATTCAGTCTACTGCACAAGTCTTCTGAGGCATTATTCAAGTGATTTTTCAGCCCCACTATCTGTCAGTTAACACCACCAAAAGTGACAGAATTGTACAGAAAAGGTGAAGTACAGCCACCTTACATGAAGTTGGTTTCCAGTAAGCTGGAGACTTATTCTGATTTTGCTCACATTGAAAACTGGGAAAGGGAAAAAGAGGAAACAACTGGGTCAGGGCATACAAACATGGCTACTAAAGTGCGAGATCTCCTATAAAAAAAAACCAAACTAACCAGTCAGAAATTCACTTATTTAGAATTTCTATAATACAAGGTATGGAATTGAAGCAGCAATGGTATTAATAAACCACTACTTTCACATTCTGGTCAAGCTGTAAATAAAACAGATCTTTATTTCCTCATTTCAAAAGGAGAGAGATAAGTGTGGGTGGGGACAGTCCGCCAGCAACAGCTACACTGCTTTCACCTGCACAGGAACTCAAAGGGAAGCTCTTGCAACACCAGCAATGAAGTGTGATATTCTGTCACCATGGAAATGATTTTAAAGATTAGCCTTGGGGCTGAGCTTACACATACAAAGCCAGTGCTCTGCTGCAGTGTGTAAGACACCGAGATTTCATTAGTGCCATAATCTCCCCAGGTCAACAGAGCTCAGAATACGACCCAGAGCGGCAACTCCCCAGAGGTTATTAAGCACCAGCAATGAAGAAATAAAGCAGACGTGCAAAGGATGCCTCATCCAGAACCTTTTGGCTGCAAAGACACAAATCTGAGTGTTGAATTACAGCAAAGGGAGTGAAAGAGGCAAGCAAAACCCACAGCTAACAACATTTCAGGAAGACCCATAGGAGAAGGAGGAACAGTAACTACAGTGCAACTCTCCAAAGAGCTGCAGTATTAACTTCCTGATTTACAACGTGCATCCCCTCTCTCCTAAGCCCCTGCTGCAGAAAAAGCAGCCTTCTAAAAAGGCTGTAACACATAGCAAAGTTCAAGAAAGGTTCTGTAAAAATGGAAAACAAGATGCTATGTGGAACCAGGCAGCGAGTATTTTGCATTTGCCTTGGTCACAGCCAACACACACGGCAATCCGGGCACACGAGGAAGGACTTGTGGCTTTATTTAGAAGTTACTTTGAACTCTTGTCATTCAATTATCAGGTTAAAAGTCACAAAAACTTCAGTTTAATTCAGCATGTGCATCAGTGGTTTTACCTGTAACTAATTACACAGGCCAAAATTCCCATCCGCACCAAGGGGGCTGCCAAGTGAATCCTATATCTGCAATAAATAGCTGAAAAGCTATTTATTTATTTCTTCTCTTTGGGAAAAAAAAATCTCATAGCTGATAATTTATTTAGTATTTAAAGTTATTTTTAGAAAGGATTTTTTTTAGATGATAGTGGTCACAGAATCATAGAATGGCTTGAGTTGGAACAGACCCTAAAGATCATCTAGTTCCAAACTCCCCTCCTTTGGTAGGTGATAAGGGAGGACACAAAATCTGTTGCATCCAGTACTTAAGATTCCACTTTAAACTCACCCCAGGCACCAAGCAGATGGCCTCAAATTTACACTGCATCTTCACAAAACATGCAGGTCCTGTCAGCACAAAAGGAGTCTGCACTATGCTGTTATCTTCCCTTCAATAAAGGGATGAATTTCAGTAGTATTGCAGTAACTCAGGAGGTGTTTAACAAATAAAATCAAGTGACAATCAAGGAAGCCCCTGGCAGGATGGTTTAGTGGACAACAGGAGCCTGAGCAGTAGGTTGGCCTGGACTGAGAACAGATTTCCTGCAGTACCTCAAGACCTTACTTCTACCTGTCTGTATTGCGCTGTTTAGCAGCATTCCACATGGCTCCAAATGTCCTGGTACGCCTAAGAGGCAGAGCACAGGGATAACAACGTGAGCCCAAGAGCCAGTAGCACAATAAGCAATGAAAGAACTAGTAACTCTGGTTCTCAGCAGAGCCACTCAGCCCTTGTGGATATCAATGCCATGACACCACTTCCAGGAAAAGCTGCCTGGGGCCGGCCCAGGCAATTCCACCCAGCACTTCCCTGTGCAGCGCCGACTCTTAACAAGCCAAGTGTGACATCCCAGCTGGCTGTGTGCAGCATCCAGTGCGTAGATTTTATTTCCCATTCCTATAGTTTGGGAGTAAGGGTCTGTAGTTGTGCAATCTAATTCCCAAGTGACTCATCTTCATGCAATGAGACATAAATGGTTTCTTCTAGGGCTTGGGGAGCTGCTGAGAAACACCAGCACAGCCACTCACAGGGTCAGGATTCAGCAGGGTTAAACACACGTTCTTTCGCTCAATCTTCTTAACCCAGATCAGAGTTGTCTTAAACCAGATCAGCTCCCCAGCCCAATTTATGTTGAGTCTGCTACTGAACTACTCTAACATGTAATTGAGAGGGCAGGGAGTAGGATAAAGATGAACCTGACACCACCAAAAGAACTATTCATATAAGCACAGCTTGTGACAGGCTTGGCAGTGATATCCTGTGTACAGTGCTGAATTCTGCTTTCAGTTAAAAACATAATGAAACTGAAGACACTCAGGTCACATTTAAGTGAAAATCACAGCAATCAAACTCTCCACAGCTTTGTTTCAACACACTTTGGTTACAAATGCTAACAGTTTGTTTCTGCTTTAGTTTGTGTTTGCTTCATAAAAGGCTCCAGCCTTCATGGCTGCTCAGGACCAGCTTTGAGCAGACATCTGAAGATTTTTACCCCATTAACCCCCTCAGTATATAAAACTACATACCAGGAGATCTGCTCCTGCACTACAAACTCTTCCTAAAGCATTTAGGAACTTAAGCTTCTGCAAATGGTTCTTCAAAATCATAAATAAATAAACAAATATGGAAACAAAAAGACTATGCACCGCATTTACTGGTAACTTGAGGCTTCCACCTCACAAAATTCCTCTCTTAACGTGGCTCTGGCAATGCTGCCGGAGTATTGCACAAAACAACTTACTTTTGGCACATCAATTGCCACCTCCCTCATGGCACTGGGCCTGACATCATTCATCCCCTGCAGGAAGTCATTGAAAGCAATCATCACTGACCCAGCCACCTCGGTGTCTAACAGGTTAGGGCTCTTCCCCAGCGTTCTCCGCAAGGCGTGCAAACCTATTGAAACAAAAAAAACCATGGAAATATGTAGACTTCCTCTTGGTTCTCACAAACAAAGTGTACCACACACAAACACAGAGCAGCACTGGAAAGGAAATGATGTCCAAAGGAATGTCTCAGCGCCAGGTCTGAACTGCGTCAGAGAACATGCGAGACACTTCTGCTGGGAGAGCATGAAAAAGGGGATTTAACAACCATAGACGGAATATAAACTAAATCTGTTCCAAAAGCCAGGATGAAACAGCCTTGTTCCCGTGTTCCCAGAGGGAAAAACTCTAAACATCCATACATTGATCTGAACACATTTCTAAACCACAGAGGAAGAGGGACAACGGATATTCAAGGCAACACTAAATCAGCATAAGTAAGACATCTGCAACCTTTTCCATTTCTCTGTTATCAGGACTGTATTTTCTAAGCTGCTCTTAAAAGCAAACTGATGAGGTTTCTTTAACCTTCACTGGAACCCTATTTTGCCACCTGGTAAGATGCCAGACACCTATCTTTTTCTTGACATGCAACAAACATTCCCTGCAACACCCAACAACTCTTAATTCCCTTCAGTGATTATACTTTTCAAATCAGGCATAGCTTTTACCTTCTCCTTTGTTTGGCCAAATCACTCACACACAATACCTATAAATCTTCATACTAATTCCTAGTTTCCCCTATAAATCAATCCACCAAAGGCCACACAAGTCCCACCCACTCACACATCAATATATCAATACTCCTTGGGCAGGACCAGGCTGTACCATTTGCAGCTCCCAGGCATTCCCTGGAGAGCAACTACAGCCCCTGTTGTGTAAGATGCCCGGAAGCATCATGGTTTTCCCACTGTATAATTATCCCTTTTGAGGTCTAATATAATTCAGAGTTCTATTGCTTCTGTTTCCAATCCTGTTCTGTGAACTGAAGCTGTCAAATATCTTATTTTATATATTATTAGTTGATGAGCATAATTTTATATGCAGGTATATACACATCAGATATTACATATCTGTTGCCATGTGTTCCCAAACAAATGAGGCAGTTCATACCCCAGCAGTTCACCTTGCATGACCATAAAAAGACAAACATTTGTTAAGTCTCTTCTATATTTAACCAAACAAAACATCAATTAGTGCTACATGAAAGGACAATAAAAGGGATTAAGCCGTTTCTGAAAATAGACATGGTTTTAACTTTCAGCAGATTGTTGTCTTTTTTTTTCCCCCTACAGAGGCACTGGTAGAAGCAGACATGCAACATTTCTGACAATGACAGGAATTCTGCATTTCCTACAATATATACAACGTGTGAAGAGATATAATATGTCCCCTGTGAAGCAGTACAGCTGGTGTCTCTCCATAAACTGCCAATTACAGCAGAGTCTGAGCACCTGCATCCAATACCCAGGCTCTTAATACAATAACACAAAGAAAAAAAGTTTGTAATTCAAGTTTCCCCTTGCACAGAACATCCAAAACTAATAAGATACATAAATAAAAACATTCCATGAGGCCAAGGAGAAAAATGAAAATCTGGTCACCAGAGGACAAGTATAAAATATAACTGACTCATTTTAACAACCCAGACAATTTTCATGGTATTCCTCACCCCCTTCTTCCTTCTTCTAAGGAGTTCATTTTAAGCAAACAAAAAACTTAAGTGAGACAACACAGATTCACCCCTCAGATTTAAAAATTACATCCAGGCAAATAAACTCAACATCTTACTCCAGTGTCACTGCAGTCAACACTTTGCAGGGTGGGAGCGGGTATTTGGGTTCAGTCTTACATTTTCTTTTTGGTGAAGTCAATTCACATGGCACTCTCACTTTAAAAGAATGCAAGAATAACTAACACAGCATGAAATTAAGGCATAGAGAAAGCAAGTAACTGATAAAGATCTCTGCTCATTTCTATACCTAGCAGCTCCACCAAGTACCACTTTAGCCCAGTGCTCATTTGATGCATTTTAATTTTGTCATGGTTATCTTTTTTTGTTATCTGGCATGAGTAAGTCTTAAAACCAAACAAGCTTATTTTAAAAACAGAGATTACAGCCGATAAAAAAGCCCAAGGAGAATACTGCTCTTGAGGTTTGTTACTGCCAGTGCTATGAGTACGAGTGAAATTTCGGTCCTCAGCAGTGGGTTTGAAAGGCAACAGCCTTGATCCAGAACAGGAATAAAGAGGTCACAGCTTTCCAAACAAAGCCGGAATTCATTTCAGCATGTGCACGCACACGCCACTGCACAGGTCAGCATTTAATTGAAACAATGTTTTACATTAAAACAATAATAAAAAACAGATTGAAAAAGAAAGCATGATTCTTCCTGTTTCCTCCTGTTATCATAATCATTCTTTCCTGCACTTCAGATTGACCTCTAACCAGAGGGGAGGGGGGGAGTCTCAGTAACAGGAGAAGGATACAGCCAGTGGTTTGCCGGAGGCAGAAAAACATATCCTTGTCTGGAGACGCTGAGAGATGTATTTAACGTAAGGAGCTGCAGGGTAGGATGCAAACCACGCTGCCAGAAGCAAGGCAGAGGCAAAGAAGGGGGAACATTACAGCAAACACAAGTTTATCACTACAGAAGTCACAGTGAAGATTCGAAGAGTCACACCTCAGAAAACATCAAGCAGCTCAGATCGGCTCCTGGGTATCTTCCACGTGGGAATGTTTTGGGTTGAGTATATGTCATTGCTGTTAACTGACTGAGCACAACATTCGTTTCAGCTCTGCTTGTTCCTTTTCAGATGATACTCTGTTTTTAAGAATTAATGAATATCAATAACTTTTAGCAGTGACTGAGGAGGCCCAGAAGTGGGCGAGTGGGTTTTCACTTTTATTCCAGTCCTGCCTGAGGAGAGGAAGGACTCAGACATACTTAGCCTGCTGTAAGGTCAGTGGGACTGTTCACACAGGCATGGGATACCCATTTCTAATCAAGGGATACATGACCAGCCCCAAGGACTGCCCTATGCAGAGCAGAAACTGAACTTGGAAGGCAGCCACCGATCCTCAGTGGAGCAGTATGGAAAATCCCAGTTAAAAAAAAAAAGAAAAAAGAGAGAAAAGAAAGCAGCATAATAAGGCATGCATTATTACAAACAATGGAAAACAAACAGCTTGTTCCAGCCCAGCAACTATGCGCTCTACCTCTCCAACTCATCCTGTCTGTCTAGAACAGGGGAAACTAAGTGGACAGAAGGGAAAAAACCAGCAGAACGCCCTGTCCTGGTACAGATGATCCTTCTTTGGTACCAGGCTACTCATGAGGTCAATAGCATTGTTTGTCTGTAAGATCTTCTTGCTCATAGCTTGGCTAAGTTTTGGCACATTAGATCATAATCACAAATATCTGAGCCTAAAAATAGACCCTACGACACTGCTATATTTGTCAGAGTCTGCGTATAACTACACGCCACTGTAAATAATAGAAAGCATCCACTCAGAAAGGACCAACATATATACTTTAGGTTTCCAAAACAGAATATACACAACACTTGAAGAAATAAACTGAACCAAACCAAACTGTTAATCATGCTCATTTACTGCCCGTCAGCTGCTTCTTCCACAAACCCCTCCTGCCTGGACTCACTCTACCAGAATTTCTAAGCAGCTTCAAAGAATTGTAATCTTCTTGCAAGATTGTTTACAAAAGGAAATGTTTCTTCTGATAATCTGGCATTTCCCTCCCAAATTCTTACAGCCAAACCCAGAAGACACATAGCATTTCTCCATGTGATAGCTGTCAGATCCAACTCTCCTGCATTCTAAAAACTGATTCTCTCCTGCATGGCTGGCAGTGGAATACTCCACAGAGGAGCATGGATGGGTAAGATCTCAGCTTCCAAATGGCACTGGATGGGGCATCTTCCTCTATTGCCAGGTTTTTACGTACTACACTACAAAATTTAACAGGTTTACGCACAAAAAAATTTTCATATTACTTAGAAACAGTTTATAAATATATTTTTAAACTTTTTTTTAAATTTAACATGTCCATAAAATTCACACCTACTTAAAAAACAAATTAGGAAGCAGAAAGCCTTGCTTTTTGCTCTCAAAACCATACTCTGCAATCTGTCTTTAGCTGCCAGAGCTATATGGGAAAATCCCTGAAGAACTTTTCGTACTGTTTGCACAGGAAAGATAATGCCCTTAAATCCCTTGTAACCCATAACACTGCAAATTCACCGGGCTAACCTGAGCACTAACCTACTGTAGGGATTATGTACAGGATTTATAGTCCTTCCTGAAGAGCCCTGGCATTTGCTGGAACATGTCTATGGAGCTGCCTGAAAGTTGCTGAGAGGTAGGACAGGGGAGAGGAAGGAAGGAAGGAGGAACTGTATTTTCCAAACTTCTTTCGTACAGGAAACGGTTTATTCACAGATCAGGTACACACACGTCATTTATCCTAATCCAGTGACAACAGAGGGAAATAAGGAATACCAGACTGCCTGTTCCTCATACATAAACATACCTAAGCTAAGGGGAGTTAGAACAAAAATAAGGACCGACAGGCTACCAGAATAGCAAGGGCAGAAAGACAAGAAGCAACAGTCAGTGGCTAAAGGCTGGTCTCACTCTAATTAGGAGTGTTGGTAAGTCAGGATATAACTAAGAACTAAAGTCAGGAGACCTATGAAAACTTTGCCTGAAAATATTTAAGCTGTCCCCCAACAGTAACTAATCATTCTACTTACACATGCCTACTGCTGAGTTTGCTCCCACAGAACTAACACAGAGTAGCTGATCTTTTATCAATTAATCAAAAGAATTAAGGCTGCTTTCAGACACTGAGTTTGCCACTACGTATTCCAGAAATCTATTTTACCTGGAGCCTGAGAGGGAGTCAGAAAACATTGAATTTTTCTCCTACAGCACCATTTCTACACAAACAGTTTGTCTGAAGTATAGTTGATGACTAAGACAGTACCTGCCCCAAATTTTTTTCTGTTCTTAAGCAAAATGACATAGTGCTAAATTTTCAGAATTACATT